AACTATTCTAATATAATATAATATAATTATTATTAAGAATGGATGGACATCTGTCAGGGGTGCTTTAATATACAATTATATTAATATAATATAATAATATACAATTATAACATATAATGTAATATAATAATATAATATAATACACAATAATTATATTATATTATTGTATATTATATTATATTATATTATGTTATTATATATTATATTACTATATTATATTATTATTGTATATTATTATTATATTACATTATATCCTCCCGATTCTTCTCCTCCAGCAGGCTGCAGGATTCTGAGTTATATGGCTGTGTGGAAAGGTCCTGGGTTATCTGAGTCCACACTGCCATATAATCCGGTTCAAAGCACATATTGTGGGATTTTCTGCTTTGATATTCTGAGTTAAATGGCCGTGTGGAAAGGTCCTGGGTTATCTGATTCCACACTGCCATATAATCAGGTTCAAAGCACATATTGTGGGATTTTCTGCTTTGATATTCTGAGTTATATGGCTGTGTGGAATCGCCCTGGGTTATCTGAGTCCACATTCCTGATAGTTCGGCTGATAGGCTGATCAGTAAACATATTCATGGATTTCCTGCTGTTATATTAAGACTCTTACCCATGCTGTGACAGTAATCTGGCCCCCTGTTTAAAAAGTTTGAGGACCCCTGATATATAGTAATAATAGTTTTAAGCTGCTGGCCAGGAAGACAATTAGCTGGCTTAAGACAAGCCGTTTTAAAGCGTTTTAAAGACTGGATTCCTGTAAGTGCTGACCATTCTTAATTCGGATTGTTTTGATGGATATAATATAATATATATAATATAATATATTATATTACATTACATTATATTATAATATATTATATTATTATAATGTTATTATATTATATTATATTATATTATAATATACAATTATAATATAATATAATAATAATATAGTAATATAATAATATATTATAATATAAAATAATATAATATTATAATAATATTATAATAATATAATATATAATATATAGTAATAATAGTTTTAAGCTGCTGGGCGATGAAGAGGATTAGCTGAGTTAAGACAAGCATGAGGAAAGAGGAGGGAAGCAGTAGAGCAAAGGTGGCTGGAAGGAGGGGAGAGACAGGAAGTGGGATAAATGCGCTGCTTGCTAGCTTGCTACCGGGGAGGGAAGAGAAACGACGAGATTGTAAAACTTGCACCAGACATACAAAAATAATTACAAAAATTGGAAAAATTGTTTCGATTCTTAAATACTCCTCACACTATTCCTGCATGGCTCGATATTGGATCGTAAGCTAATTTAAATACGAATTCATAACGAGTAACGAAAATAACGAACACGATCGCCCAGGCCTACAAAACAATATAAATCACTGCTTCTGTGTCTTTAATTTTTATAGTGGACACTCTGAAGCTCTAGAAGTCCCCTCGGGAAGATACAGTGGACTATAAAGTATATTATTATTATTATTATTTTACTGACACAAAGGCACAAAAGCGTACTATGTCACACCAAACAAGATCAATATGCTGGATTTCGTATCAAAAAATCACAAGTCGAACACTTCCCAAGTGTCTAAGACTGTGTGATGTAATTTCGTATGATGCATGCAGATCCAAGTAATGTGGCCTTTTGCAGTTGACAGATCGTGATTTTGTCAATGTTTATTGTTTCCAAATGCCGACTGAGATCTTTTGGCACGGCACCCAGTGTGCCAATGACCACTGGGACCACCTGTACTGGTTTATGCCAGAGTCTTTGCAGTTCAATTTTGAGGTCTTGATAGTGACTGGGTTTTTTCTGTTGTTTTTCCTCAATGCGGCTGTCACCTGGTATGGCGACATCAATAATCCAGATTTTTTTCTTTTCTACAATCGTGATGTCTGGTGTATTGTGTTCCAAAACTTTGTCAGCCTGAAAGTCCCACAGTATTTTTGCATGTTCATTTTCCACAACCTTTGCAGGTTTATGATCCCACCAATTTCTTACTACTGGCAGGTGGTACTTGTGACATAAGTTCCAGTGAATCATCGGGGCCACAGAGTTGTGTCTTTGTTTGTAGTCTGTCTGTGTTATTATTACTATTATTTGGAACACAACAAGATGAGACCACAGCAAACAAGATCACTCTGTTGGCTGTTGTATTGGATCACATATCGTACACTTCCGAAGTGTCTAGGACTGAGTGATATAACGGCGAATAATGCGTGCAGATCCCAGTAAGGTGGCCTTCTGCAGCTGGCAGATGGTAATTTTGTCAGCGCTGATTGTGTTTAAGTGCAGGCCAAGGTCTTTAGGCACTGCACCCAGTGTGTCGATCACCACTGGGACCACCTTGACTGGCTTGTGCCAGAGTCTTTGCAGTTCGATCTTTAAATCCTCATATCGTGTCAGCTTTTCCAGTTGTTTCTCTTCAATCCTGCTGTCGCCTGGGATTGCAACATCGACAAACCACACTCTGTTTTTTAACACGATTGTGAGGCCAGGAGTATTGTGCTCCAAAACTCTGTCTGTCTGAATTCGGAAGTCCCAGAGTAGTTTGACGTGTTCATTTTCTGTAACTTTTTACGGATTATGATCCCACCAGTTCTTTGTCACAGGCAGATGGTATTTGTGGCACACGTTCCAATAAATCATCTGAGCAACGGTGTTATGCCTCTGCTTGTAGTCTGTCTGCGCTATATTCTTGCAGCAGCTGAGGATGTGATCTATTGTTTCATCTGTTTCCTTGCAGAGTCTACATTTGGGATCTGTTGTTGACTTTTCAATTCTGGCTTTGATGGCATTGGTTCGAATGGCTTGTTCTTGGGCTGCCAGAATCAGGCCCTCCGTCTCCTTTTTCAAAGTTCCATTTGTGAGCCACAGCCATGTTTTTTCTTTGTCAATTTGGCTCTCAATTTTTGTCAGGAACTGTCCATGGAGAGCCTTCTTTGGCCAGTTTTCTCTTCTGCTCAAGACTGTGTTTTTACGGTATTCACTTTTTGTCTTTTGCACTTGAAGCAGTTTACTACTATTTACTTCCTTCAATGTTGGTTCTTGACTGCCTTTCACTTATTGTGATTATGATTATTATATTGTGGTCAAATGCTGACTTTCTTCATTTTTTCCTATGAGTAAACTGCCCTCCCACCATCTGTCGCTATAGGGGCAAAGAAACCAAAATATTTCCCAAAAAGGCATGAGTCCCCTTTCCAATAGGGAGGGCAAGGCAGGACACCACAAAAGTTGAATCTTTTAAATATTGTGTGGCCATAGCAATAACGACAAACAAGCATACAGGAATGCAATCAAAGGGTTTGTCGCAACCCCCCAATCGGGCTGCAGGGTTTTTATCACCTTGATAGTAAATGGAATATACGTTTTCATTGGTTTCCAAAGACAAATCATTTCATTGGTCTAAGCTAGCTATACAGTTGTCCATTTATTGTTTATGATTTTGATTGACATAACAATGACACAACTATAGTCTATTGTTCTCTGACCATGACTGTATCTTATCTGTTAGTCTGTTGCAAACATGGCTCCAGAGCAACTGGGAAACTTGGGGAGTACTAACTAGCCACCACCTAGCTGCTTTTGTCCAGATGTACTGTTAACCTTGAATAGTAACTTCTTCTCTGGAGCACTGATTTCTCAGGTGATCAGCATTTTCTGTAAACATAGGCCTACTGCAGAAACAGGCCAATATGGCAGTAAATCATGACATATAGGCATTGGCAACATCTCTGAAAATTCTCTTTTTAAAACCACATCTCCTCTATTGTAACCCATGAAGTAGAATAGAATGGCTTTATTGTCATTGTGCTATTGCATGACGAAATTAAATGTGTTCCCCAGCACATACCACAAAAATCACACCCATCCCCCCACATCCCAACCCCCACACAGACTTAGGTGTGTCTATGCTGTAGAATTGATGCATTTTGACACTACTTTAACTGCCGTGGCTCGTGTCAGGAGCAACTTGAGAAACTGCAAGTTGCTTCTGGTGTGAGAGAATTGGCCGTCTGCAAGGACGTTGCCCAGGGGACACCCGGATGATTTTTGATGGGTTTTTTTTAATCATCCTTGTGGGAGGCTTCTCTCATGTCCCCGTATGAGGAGCTGGAGCTGATAACGGGAGCTCATCCGCCTCTCCCCGGATTCGAACCTGTGACCTGTCGGTCTTCAGTCCTGCCGGCATAGGGGTTTAACCCACTGCGCCACCGGGGGCTCCACTGCCGTGGCCCAATGCTATAGAACCATAGGAGTTAGTTTTGCAAAGTCTTTAGCCTTCTCAGCCACGGGATGTTGGAGACTTACTCAGGAGATGGTAGCGGGGTAGAAATAAAAGGTATTATTATTATTATTATTATTACTACTACTAAACTGCAATTCTCATGCTCTGCACTGTTAAAGTGGTGTCAAATTGCATTCATTTTAGTGTAGATGCACCCAAAGTCTACAAAAGCGAGGCTGCTGTAAGTTCTTCGGGCTATACGACCATGTTCCAGAAGCATTCTCTCCTGACATTTTGTCACAACCTCTGAGGACGCCTGCCATAGATGTGGGTGAAAAGTCAGGAGAGAATGCTTCTGGGACATGGCCATACAGCCCAAAAAACTTACAGCAACCCAGTGATTCCGGCCACGAAAGCCTTTGACAATCCATTCTACAAAGGTTTTCTCTCAGAATATTGTCACATTAGAGGATTAATAGTTGTGGTGTCCTACTATTACTCTGTACTGTGGCTCCAAGGTGCTACAAAATCCTCAACCATAGAGTTTAAAAAATAAGATATGGCGTCTAAATGAAACAGGAAGTTCTTTCAACGGGACCGGAAGCGCCACTCCAAATTGCCTCGTCGTCTCTCTGGTTCTGAGGCTGGCGGACCTTTAGCACGTATAAGGAAAAGGAAGGAGGGGGAGGAGCGGCTTGGAGGGAAACGCGAACGTGGTGACGTAACAAAGCAACCTGTGAGCGCTCAGCCTATCACCTCTCCCCAGCTCCGGCTTTCTCCGTGAAGGGGCGGGGCAAAGGGGAACGCCTCGGAGGGAGTCGGATCTGGGATTGGGGGCAGAGGCGCAGGGAGGAAGTGGCGCAGCTCAGCCATGGTTTACATTTCGAACGGTGAGGCTCAGTTACTCTCATTCTTTTAGAGGGGGGGGGGATTCGTGCTTATTACAAGGGGGGTGGAAGTAGGCAATGCTCCCAAACAGAAATCCCCTAAACTGCCATGGCTCAGTGCAGTGGAATCATAGCTTTGCAAGGTCTTTAGCTTTCTCTGCCCAAGAGTGCTGGTGCTTCACCAGGCTACAACTCCCAGGACACCACCCACTGCTGTGGAATCATGGGAGTTGTAGTTCTGAAAGTTCTTTGGCCTTCTCTGCCCAAGAGTGCTGGTGGTTCACCAGACTACAACTCCCAGGACACCACCCACTGCTGTGGAATCATGGGAGTTGTAGTTCTAAAAGATCCTTGGCCTTCTCTGCCCAAGAGTGCTGGTGCTTCACCAGGCTACAACTCCCAGGACACCACCTAATGCTGTGGAATCATGGGAGTTGTAGTTCTAAAAGATCCTTGGCCTTCTCTGCCCAAGAGTGCTGGTGCTTCACCAGGCTACAACTCCCAGGACACCACCCAATGCTGTGGAATCATGGGAGTTGTAGTTCTAAAAGGTCTTTGGTCTTCTCTGCCCAAGAGTGCTGGTGCTTCATCAGGCTACAACTCCCAGGACACCACCCAATGCTGTGGAATCATGGGAGTTGTAGTTCTAAAAGATCCTTGGCCTTCTCTGCCCAAGAGTGCTGGTGCTTCACCAGGCTACAACTCCCAGGACACTGCTTAATGATGTGGAATCATAAAAGTTTTAGTTCTAAAAGGTCTTTGGCCTTCTCTGCCCAAGTGTGCTGGTGCTTCATCAGACTACAACTCCCAGGACACCTCCCTGGCTCAGTGATGTGGAATCACTGCAGCTATAGTTCTAAAAAGTCTTTGGCCTTCTCTGCCAAAGAGTACTAGTGCCTCATCAAACTACAACTCCCACTATTTCATAGCCAATATGGCAGTAAATCCTGACATATAGGCATTGGCAACATCTCTGGAAATATGATTCCACTTTTTGTCATGGTATCATATCCACAATAAGGGCAGCCATGGCTTTCTGCTCAACCAGCTTTCCGCTGCACCCATTAACAAGACAAGGAAGGATGAGAGAAAATCCGTTGATTTGTATGGGAGAGCTTAAGGTGATTAAAGGTAGCTCTCAACTGGGGCGGGCTGTGGAGGCAAATAGCCTAGAACTAAATACTTTCCAGCCTGCAATCTTGAGGCTGTTTTCACAGCTGACGCGAAGTGCCTCTTTCGCTTGTAAATATAGGAAAGAGAGAGTGGGCTGTAAACACAATCTTAAGAGTGCATCTACATTGTAGAATGAATGCAGTTTGATATCACTTTAACTGCCGTATCTCAATGATACAAGATCATGGGAGCTGTAGTTCTACAAAATTTTTTAGTCTTCTCTACCAAAAAATGCTGGTGCCGCCACAAGGTACAAATCCCAGGATTCTATAGTATTGAGCCATGGAAGTTAAAGTGGGTCCAGAGGAGGGTGACTAAAATGATCAAGGGTCTGGAGAACAAGCCCTATGAGGAGCAGCTTAAAGAGCTGGGCATGTTTAGACTGAAGAAGAGAAGGCTGAGAGGAAACATGATGGCCATGTATAAACGTGAGAAGAAGTCATAGGGAGGAGGGAGCAAGCTTGTTTTCTGCTGCCCTGGAGACTAGGATGTGGAACAATGGCTTCAAACTACGAGAAAGGAGATTCCACCTGAACATTACAAAGAACTTCCTATCTGTGAGAGCTGTTCAGCATTGGAACTCTCTGCCCCAGAGTGTGGTGGAGGTTCTTTTGGAGGCTTTTAAATAGAGGCTGGGTGGCCATCTGTCAGGGATGCTTTGAATGCGATTTTCCTGCTTCTTGGCAGGGGGTTGGACTGCGTGGCCCATGAGGTCTCTTCCAACTCTGTGATTCTATGTGGGAAACCATTCATTCTACAGTGTTAATGTAAGTCCTGAGGTGAGATACAGTTTGTGCCTAGTGCAGGGTTCAACAAGGTTTGCATTTGTGTGTGTGGAGCAGGTATGGTTAATGTCTTGGTCCTTCCTGCTCCAGTCTTTTCATGCTTACGGTTTCTTCAAGTGCCTTTATGCTCAAAACATGAGGGTGAAATCATTCTTGCCTCCCATGTGACCTATTGCTGTGAGGATTGTCATCATCTGGATATTTACTTGTGATGAACCTCTGGGGACCGGGGTTTGATTCTCACTCGGCCATTGAAACTCACTGGGTGATCTTAGGCAAGTCTCATACTTTCGGAAAGCACCTGAAGGCACACAGTAACAAAGCCCTGCTGATCTTTGCTGCCTGTGGTTCTTGTGTTCATTTTAATACAGGTTGGTTTTCTGGGTCATGATTATGTCACTCTCAGTCTAAGTATGCTTCCCCTCCATGTGTCCAGTCTTTTCATGCTTACAGTTTCTTCAAGTGCTTTTATGCTCAAAACATGAGGGTGAAATCATTCTTGCCTCCCATGTGACCTATTGCTGTGAGGATTGTCATCATCTGGATATTTACTTGTGAGGAACCTCTGGAGACCCATTTGGCTATTGAAACTCACTGGGTGATCTTAGGCAAGTCACATACTCTCAGATGCAAAAATCCCAATGAAAAATCCCTTAGGATTGTCAAAAGTCAGAAAGCACCTGAAGGCACACAGTAACAAAGCCCTGCTGATCTTTGCTGCCTGTGGTTCTTGTGTTCATTTTAATACAGGTCAGTTTTCTGGGTCGTGATTATGTCAATCTCAGTCTAAGTATGCTTCCCCTCCATGTGTCAAGTATCAATTTATTTACTGCCTCCATTCTTCTCCTAAAATAAAAGCAGTGTCTTGATTAGTATACACATATTTTGTGGAGTGAGCAGCAGCTAATGGCTTGTAGTTGATCATTTCCTGATGGAGCTGGACACCTTTCTATGCTTTCTGGTCATTGCCAGAAGAGCTAGGAAATGAAATGCTCATTACAGGTAGACTATATTGGTGGCTTTATGTGTCTTCTCTGTATTGAGCAGTTATTGCTACTGTTGTTGTGTGCCTTCAGGTTGTTTCTGACTTACGTTGCCCTCAGGCAAATATATCATAGGGTTTTCTTGGTAGGATTTGTTCAGAGAGAGAGTTTTACTTGTTTTCTTCAGAGGCTGAGAGAGAGTGATTTGCTCAAGATTATCCAGTGGGTTTCTAGGGCTAAGAAGGGATTTCAACCCTGATCTCCAGAATCCTAATCCAACACTCAGACCGCTACACCATGTTTGTTCCACCTCCTCCTCTTCTTCCTCTTCTTCATCTTGGAGTCATGCCACCCTCCAGAAATTGTTGGACTGCAGTTCCCACCAACTCTATCCAATTGGCTGCCGTTCATTTTCCGGGCCCAATTCAAGGTGCAGGTGCTTACCTACAAAGCCCTGAACTGTTTGGGACCATCCTACCTGCGTGACCGCATCTCCGTTTATGAACCCACGCGTTCTCTTCGCTCATCCAGAGAGGCCCTGCTCACAATCCCACCAGCGTCGCAAGCGCGTTTGGTGAGGACGAGGGACAGGGCCTTTTCTGTGGTGGCCCCCGACTTTGGAACACCCTCCCCAAAGACATCAGACAAGCCTCTATGTTGGCAGTCTTTAGGAAGAATTTGAAGACTTGGCTGTTCCGATGTGCCTTTCCAGAATAGGAAACTCCAGCAATATGTCCCAGAAGCACTTTATCAGAGTTTTAAAACAGTCTGCACATTGCACTTACCCTATAATCCTACATCCACCGGTTACACCCAGCACTTTTTAATCTGTACCCATTACACTAGCCCCGGCCCTAGTTTTACTTTGTCATGATGTATTGTTTTTTTGTTTGTTTACTGCTTTTGTTTTAATGTTTGATTTGCTTTAAGTTATGTGTTTTGTTATGCCATTGTTTTATTGAGGCCTTGGCCTCTGTAAGCCGCATCGAGTCCTTCGGGAGATGCTAGCAGGGTAGAAATAAAGTTAATAATAATTATAATAATAATGTGATGAGGAATGCAGATAGTTGAATAATAAAGTCATGTTTTGTTCTCTTACATAACAATGATGGGTCCTTGATCTATATCCAGTTGTTAATCTCAAGTACAGTAGACCCACTGATCTCAGAGAACATGCTAAATTAACTTTTATGTAAATTCCATTGATTCAATGGGTCTACTCTCATAGGGACTAACAGTAGATTTAGAGCCATGTTTTAACTTGTATATTATGTATTTTTAAAATTTTAATATTTCCCTATTTGTAGTAATGCACACTTAACTGCTTTGAGATTATATTTGTGATTTTCCCCAACTGTGTTGCAGGACAAGTGTTGGATAACCGGAGCCGAGCTCCATGGAGCTTCTCATCTATAACTGACTTCTTTTGGGGAATAGCAGACTTTGTCGTTATGTTGTAAGTAGAATTATTATCCTAATTGACCGCTTTGAGCCCCCCACCCCACCCCAGGGATGAGAAAGGCAGTATATAAATACTGTAGATAAATAAATAATTGAACTCTTTATTTGCATAGCTTTCTTTTTAAGAGCCACCAGAATCCTGTGTACTGCCAGGAATGGGAGAGTAAATACATATATGTACAGATGTGACTCAGTTAACAAAGCTCTGCTTTTTGATGACCCACTTTATAACCATTTTGAATTATTGGCATCTAGTCCACTTTTTCATGATTAAAACTGAATTAAAATGAAGCCAAACTAAAATGAAATCATTACATGGGCTTCCACGTTTTGATGATTTCCAGTGTTTCACATTGCTCTGGTTCCTAACATGCCGCATAAGCGTTAAATTTCCAATCTAAGAAATGGGTGTAGATAATCTTTCTAAAGCTGAGAAGCTTTAGCAGACATCAGTAGGCTGCCCAGAAACTTCATCTTGGTGACTGATTGATAATGGTTCAATATGGTGGGATTCAGGGAACTGGCATGGTATAATGGTTTGAATATTGGATCAAGACTCTAGGAGACCAAGGTTCGAATCCCTGCTCAGCCATGGAAGCCCACTGGGTGACCTTGGGCAAGTCAAAATCTTTTTGCCTTATAGGAGGGCAATCAGCAACCCCCTCTGAATTGAAACTTGACAAGAAAAGTCTATAGTAAGGTTGGCACCAGTCAAAGTTTACTTGTAGACACAGAAGATTTGGTGGGATCCAGTCAAAGCCTTTTCAACAGAGGTCTTATAAGTACCTCCCTTAAGCATGTTGAGACTCTGTCTTGTTGCAAAGAGGCATTGACTGTTTCCTTTTACCGACACCGCCAGCCTATCCCTCATCCTTTGAATGCAAGAACAAACATGATGTCTTCCACCTTTCCAAGGGTCCTTCCTATCTCCCTGGGCAGTACACATTGAAAATATCAATTCACCTGAGGCAAGCAAGGGCTAAGATCATACAATCTGTAGACCTAAAACATCCAAGGCATTAAAGATACATAGAATTTAAAATACGTTTTACTTCAAGAATAAATAATTCTGGTTAATTTTCAGTTCAGTATATATAAATGAGCAAAAAAAGTGGGCCAACTTTTTAAAAACATTCATTTACAAGACAACAAATATTTAATACAAATTTTACAATTTATAGTTCACTACTTTTGGCCCCCTGGTGGCACAGTGGATTAAACCATTGAGATGTTGAACTTCCTGACCAAAAGATTGGCGGTTTAAATCCGGGGAGCAGGCTGAGCTCCCACTGTTAGCCCAATTCCTGCCAACCTAGCAGTCCGAAAACATGCAAATGTGACTAGATCAATAAATACAACTTCTGCGGGAAGGTAACGACGCTCCATGCAGTCATGCCTGCCTCATGACCTAGGAGGTGTCTTCGCACAATGCCTGCTCTTTAGCTTAGAAAAGGAGATGAGCACCACCAGAATCAGACATGACTAGTTTAAATGTCAGGGGAAACTTTTTCCTTGCTGTTGCTGAATGATGTTTGAGCCTCACTTAATATGTTGCTGAATATTGCATACAATTCTAGCAATGCTAAACTATTTGGAGGGTTTTGTTTTGTTTGAGATTTTGTTTTGGCTTTCAGATAACAGTAGTGTTCTTTTTATTAGTTTCCAGAGCATTATTCATCCAGACCTGACGAGAGGGTCTACATCTTCTTCTACTTCAAGATACGCTGATGGAAGAGGGTACAGTCTTTTCCCTTTAATTTAGATGGTACACATTATGCAAAATCCTGTTGTGTTAGCAAGCAGGAATAGTGTGTGGGTTTCTCTTCTAACTGAAGTATAATTACATCGAATGGAAAGTCTTTAGAACCAGTTCTTATCCAATCCCAATAAGTAGGTTTTACTCAAGATGTGGAATGAGAGAAGGGCTTGACTTCTCATACGGGACTTGTGAATGAAAATGCCTATACAAAACAACCTTAACCTCAGTCAATCATATCCTATCACAGTAGATCGATCGCTTATGGAAGTTTTGCTTTATGTTGAAAATTTTGAATATGAATTGAAATGGCACATCAGTGCTGCATTAGACGCTAAACTTATGTGCAAGTTTAGTAAAATTAAACTCTTCCAAACTCCGTTCAATGAGAAGGACTTTTATTTGAGGTCTTCCTGGTAAGAAGTTTTCTCCATTATGTTATAAACTGATTCTAGTGATCTGAATGTGTCTCATCCTCATTATATGCTTCAAAAGTATTTTCTGAATATTATGAGTCCTGAGAATATTTTTTTCAAGTCTTAAAGGAGGACTTTCTTATTAGTTATAGATTTCTAGAATCTAATTTTAAAATAGTTACTGCGTGAAAGTCTATGGGATACCTCAATTATTCTCTTTGAGCAAATTATCAGGATTTTCTTGCTTTTTAGCATTTTGTTAATGAGATCAGAAAGCTTAAATGGATTTCTTTTAGAGTCAATGATAAACCTGAGATAATTGATTGTGGGCTAATATTTCATGCTGTTGTTGTTCACTTATTAAGCAAACTGTTGAGAGGTATATATAATTCAGCATTTGTTAAATTATGACGGAAAAATGGAGTCACTAGAGGAGCTTATGAAAATTCTCTCTTTCTTTTTAGACCTCCAGGATTACCTCGTCGAAGAATGGGCCGAATAAGTCATTTTGGTGGTCCAAGCCCCCCACCAATGGCCGGAGGTGGATGAGGAAGGTAATCTGTGGCCTCATGCTTCTTATTTGCACCATCAAAACAATTCCATAGTTGGTTTGCCTAAAAAATAATAAATGATTTTTTTCCCTTTTACTTGAAGTGAATGAAAAAGTCAAAACATTTGTGACTACAAATGTAAATTCAAAATTTTATTGTGGCTTTTCATGTTCACACCTTATTTATCACCCAAGGAGTGAAGTCTTCAACATATAAAATATATTTTCAGATTAGGAAAAAATGATTTGTGTGTGGAAAAATAATTGAATGTTTAGGTTTATCAGGATTTTTCCTTCCCTTTCAGTAGTTCCCAACTTTTGGGCCTCCAGGTGTTTTGGACTTCACCTCCCACAGTTTCTAAGCTGAGATTTCTGGGAGTTGAATAATAATAATAATAATAATAATAATAATAATAATAATAATAATAATAATAATATAAACTTTATTTATACCCCACCACCATCTCCCCAAAAGAGACTTGAGGCAGCTAAACATGAGGTCAAGTCCAAAAATAACAATCCAGCAAAACAAAATTCAAAGAAACAAAATAGCATCAAAATAAACACAAGAAATGACAAAATAAAATAAACAGTCTCAAAATAACATGATAGAGAAATGAAACACGGAGCGGGCCAAATGTGCGAAGAATAAAATTGATACAATTGGTAAAGCCCTGGGTGAGATAAGAAAAATGTGTGTCTGGGGGATAATGTGTTTCTAAGGGAAGAGAAGCTAAAAAGGGGCAGAAAGAGGTAGGCATTCAAACATCTGGTGGCCCAAAGCTTGGGAACCAAATACGGAATATGTGCAATTGACATTTGGAATGGCCCAGTTTATGTACTTGGATCATGTGATTTTAATATTTTTATTAGGTGTTTTAATCTTTATATTTCATGTTTTATGTCTTTTTATTGTATCTTATGATTAATTTTCCCATTGATTTTATACTTTGTTATGGCGTTGATTGTAATTTGGTGTACGTTTGTAAGGCATCGAATTTTGCCACAATTTCTGTGTAAACCACTTTGAGAAAAGCAGTTTTCTCACAGGTGTGAGAAAAGCAGTATATAAATATTGTAAATAAATAAACCACTGGACACCTCCTTCAAAGAGGAGGCAGCCAGACATACACATTCCAAGACAGGAAGGACCTGCCAGATGAGTTTTCAGTAAAATAAGTTGAGAAGCTCCATAAAAACGAGAGAATAACCTGACATTTACTTATAATGTGTTAGTTGGTGTAGCAGTATGGTAGTGTTTTCTTCATGCAACCTGGATATTGTGAGTTATGTTCAAAATACATACTTATACACCAGGCTAGATATTCTAATGCATTGGCAAAGATACTAAGGGCATTGTTTCTCCTAGTACTAGTTTCTTTGGTTGTAGCCAATGTAAGAACTATCATGATGACAATTGTCAAAAAATTAATCAGATTTTCCTTCCCTTTAGGTAAATGCCTCCTTCAAAAAGGAGGCAGCCAGACATACACATTTGCAAGATGGGAATGACCTGCTGAGGGATGAACTGATGGGGGCCTGTGGGTTGCAATTGTGTTGTCTGAAAGATTCCCTGCTCTGCCAATTGGCAGAACCATGACGTTGTCCTGGGAATTCCTTGTTCTGGGATCCAGGGCAACTGAAAAGCAGTTCTGTTAAATTAAATGCATCTCTGTACTGCCTTTTTGTATAGCTTGTGATTATTTTGTTGTCGTTGTAGAGTTCCTGGGAAAATATATGGCTTTGCAAAACTCTGGCTTTGTGTCTTTATCTTAAAACGGAAAATTACTGGTATTTTAAAGGCTCACACATCATGGACATGAAGATATATTTTATAAAGAGAACTTTAATATACATTAAATATGGGAGAGTGAATAAAAAAGATCCATTATGTTCTCTTGAGTATTTATTTATATTATTTTAATTTATTGTATGTATAGACTTCCTTTCTTCCAAGATGGGATTCAAGCATAGCTAGCAAGGAATCAGGCCAGATTCCTTTTATCTCTGTTTGATAGGCTGACTCTTAATAGAAATATTCCCTCAGATGTAATACTTTTAAATTTTACTGTTTTCTTCTGTCAAAAGGCCTGAGATATTTAAAAATCATAGAGTTGGAGGAGACTTCATGGACCATCTACTCCAACCCACTGCCAAGAAGCAGGAATATTGCATTCAAATCACCCCTGACAGATGGCCATCCAGCCTCTGTTTCTAAGCTTCCAAAGAAGGAGCCTCCACCACACTCCGGGGCAGAGAGTTCCACTGCTGAACGGTCTCACAGTCAGGAAGTTCTTCCTAATGTTCAGATGGAATCTCCTCTCTTGTAACCTGGGCATGTTTATTTATTTATTTATTTATTTGCTTTACTTCTATACCGCCTTTCTCAGCCGAAATGGCGACTCAAGGCGGTTTACACAGTAAAGATCATCACAACAATATCAAAAAGACAATTAAAAGCATATTATACAAATTACACCAGAACAAACAATCTGGCTCAACAGAGGAGTGGTGTGCTCCCTGTGTGCCGCTCCTGTTAGCAACCTGGCTGCCGAACGTTGGACCATTTGAAGCTTCCGGACAGTCTTCAAGGGCAACCCCACCTAGAGAGCGTTGCAGTAGTCTAAGCGGGATGTAACCAGAGCGTGGACTACCGTGGCCAAGTCAGACTTCCCAAGGTACGGCGCAGCTGGCGCACAAGTTTTAATTGTGCGAATGCTCCCCTGGTCACCGCCGAAACCTGGGGTTCCAGGCTCAGCGATGAGTCCAGGATCACACCCAAGCTGCAACCTGCGTCTTCAGGGGGAGTGTAACCCCATCCAACACAGGCTGTAACCCTATGCCCTGTTCGGCCTTGCGACTGACCAGGAGGACCTCTGTCTTGTCTGGATTTAGTTTCAATCTGTTGTCCCTCACCCAGACCGTCACAGCGGCCAGACACTGGTTCAGGACCTGGACAGCCTCCTTAGTAGCAGGTGGAAAGGAGTGACAGAGTTGGACATCATCCGCGTACAGATTGTTCCAAGTCCTAGTCTCTAGGACAGCAGAAAACAAGCTTGCTCCCTCCTCCCTATGACTTCCCCTCACATATTTATACATGGCTATCATGTCTCCTCTCAGCCTTCTCTTCTTCGGGCTAAACATGCCCAGCTCTTTAAGCTGCTCCTCATAAGACTTGTTCTCCAGACCCTTGATCATTTTAGTTGCCCTCCTCTGGAAACATTCCAGCTTGTCAACATCTCTCTTCAATTGTGGTGCCCAGAATTGGACACAGTATATTGGACACACTTCTGTGTAATGACATGGGAAAACATAGGAAGAGATTTATTACCCCTCCACTTTACACACTGGCCCATTAGTTGTCTGTAGGAAACACACCAGAGCTGCTTCGGTTTACTTGTAATGCTTGGCAAGGGAGGAAGTTATAGGAAAAGAGGAAGAATGAAAGACTTCCAGGTTCAGTCGAAGGCTTTCACGGCTGGAATCACTGGGTTGCTGTGAGTTTTCCGCGCTGTATGGCCATGTTCCAGAAGCATTCTCTCTGGACGTTTCACCTGCATCTATGGCAGGCATCCTCAGAGGTTGCGAGGTCTATTGAAAACTTAAGAAAATGGGGTTTATATATCTGGAATGTCCACAGTGGGAGAAAGAACTCTATTCTGTTGGAGGTAGGTGTGAATGTTTCAATTGGCCACCTTGATTAGCACTGAATGGCCTAGCAGTTTGCAAGGTGTGGCTTGTTACTGCCTGGGGGAATTCTTTGTTGAGTAGAGCAATACTCGTGAATATGGAACCGTTATAGATGAGTACATCTAGGCAACTAGTCTGTGTTCAAGAGAGACTACCGTTAAGTATGTATTTATTAGGCCTGGGTAACAACGCAAAAATTTGTTTCTAAAATCTATTTGTATTTGGGGGGTTTTTGCGTTTCGATATTTAAAATAATTACAAAACTTTCCTTTAAAAAAGTTCAGTATTTACGAAATTTCGTTAATATTAACGAATCGATTCGTTAAGATGGCGGACCCCCCGCGCATGCGCAAATCACCTCTGAAACTTCGTTATGAAGACGGGGGTCGATTCGTTAAGGTGGCAACGAATCGATTCGTTAAAAAAGAAATATTTATCAGAAATATTTAAAAATGGAAAATTAACAATGCTTGCCCTGTTGTGGAGCGAACACAGCCACAGGACAGGGACAAACTCACACACACAGGCACACAAGGGTCTTTTCTTTTTTTAGAATATTTTTTGAATTTTTTGAAGAATAAAAGAAAGATATTTTTCAGAAATATTTAAAAATGGAAAATTAACAATGCTTGCCCTGTTGTGGAGCGAACACAGCCACAGGACAGGGACAAACTCACACACACAGGCACACAAGGGTCTTTTCTTTTTTTAGAATATTTTTTGAATTTTTTTAAGAATAAAAGAAAGATATTTTTCAGAAATATTTAAAAATGGAAAATTAACAATGCTTGCCCTGTTGTGGAGCGAACACAGCCACAGGACAGGGACAAACTCACACACACAGGCACACAAGGGTCTTTTCTTTTTTTAGAATATTTTTTGAATTTTTTTAAGAATAAAAGAAAAGATATTTTTCAGGAATATTTAAAAATGGAAAATTAACAATGCTTGCCCTGTTGTGGAGCGAACACAGCCACAGGACAGGGACAAACTCACACACACAGGCACACAAGGGTCTTTTCTTTTTTTAGAATATTTTTGAATTTTTTTAAGAATAAAAGAAAGATATTTTTCAGAAATATTTAAAAATGTAGGGCGAAAACAGAGCAAAGCCTCCCCGCTGCTCCCAGCCCAGGGAATGAATACAAGCAATGAATGAATGCAAGCCAAGCCTCCCTCCCGAACCTCCCGTCTCCTCGCCTTCCCCAGCAATGAGCAATGCGGCCACGCGGAGCCGCTTTTAAAGGGCAGCCCGCCCAATCACAATCAGCCACGGTGCTTGGGAGCGCAGGATTGGCTCCCAGCGCACCCAGCATCC